AAATATACAAAATATGAAGAGTATAAATGAAAACACAAATTAGACCGTTTTTCTTTAAAATCTAAATAAGAGAAAAGAGTAGATAACAAGTAAGTAAAAAGTACAAAATGTGAAAGGCATAAATGGAAACAAAAACTAACTGTGTTTTTCTTAAGCTCAAAGTAAGAAAAAAAGAGTCGATAATAAGTAAGTGAAAAGTAGGAAAGATGAAGGGTATAAATGGAAAAAGATATTTTCATGGCACCCGTTTGCTTTAAGACACATTTTTTCTTAAGCTCTAAGAAAGAGAAAAGAATAGATAACAAATAAATAAAATTACAAAAGGTGAATGGTATAAATGGAAATAAAGGTTAACCTTCTTTTGTTAAGCTCGAAATAAGAGAAAATAGTAGGTAACAAGTAAGTGAAAAATATAAAAAGTTAAGGGTAAAAATGGAAAGAAAATATTCAATGACAACTGTCTGCTTTAAGGCGGTTAGTTTCAGCTATCACTCTATGAACACAATCATCAACCGATTTTTTTACCAATAGTTGTTATTTATCAGTCTTCTAAATCATTTTTAAGAAATTATCGTATCGATATATTTTTTTTTTTACCTTAATTAGTAAGGAAAAAGGGCGAGTAGACAAATTCAATAATAAAGACAAGTTGACAAAATACAATAAAAGTCAATCTGAGAAAAGAGTAAAAACAAAAAAAATAGAAGAAGCATAATGGAAAATGAAAACTAAAAACACCTACTTGTTTAGTTGCTTTAACACGTTTTTATTATATAATAGAAACATAAATATGCTTTACGTGTCCAACTGAAAACACATGTGAAAAAGAACTAAAATCAATAGTAGCACAGAGAAAAAAGAAAATAAAAATTCCCGCCCGTTAAAAAATCAATGATTAATTTCAAAAATTTCCTCCGAACTATGGTCATTTTAATACTTTACCCCCCAAATTTTAAAAAGTAACATCCATTCCCCTCGAACTTTGTTCCATTAACAAGTTTTATCCTTCTATTACAATAAGTGACGAAAATCACTATGTGTCACTTATTTAGTGAGAATTGAAAGATTAAGTAATTTTCTGATTGAACCTCTTAGTTGATTATCTTTCTGTTACAATAAGTAATTTTCTAATTGATCGCCATTATATAAACATTATTTAATTTGACCACCTTTTATTATATGCTAAATAAGGGAAAACATATAACAACTAAGTAAACACTATAAAATAGAAATAAAAATTAAACCACTTTTAAGAGGAAATAGTGGATAACAAGTAAAGAGTATAAGTAGATACACAAATTAAATCAGTTTTTTCTTAAGTTCCAAGTAAGAGAAAAAACATAGATAACATGTAAAAAGTGTAAAAGGTGAAGGGTATAAATAAAAATTAAACCACTTTTAAAAAAAATATAAGTTAGAGGAATGAGTAGATAAAAAGTAAGTAAAAGTACAAAAGATAAAAGACATAAATGTACAAAATATGAAGAGTATAAATGAAAACATCAATTAAACCGTTTTTCTTTAAAGTCTAAGTATGAGAAAAGAGAGATTACAAGTAAAAAGTACAAAAAGTGAAAGACATAAATAGAAATAAAAATTAACCATTTTTTCTTAAGCTTGAAGTAAGAAAAAAAAGTAGATAATAGATAAGTGAAAAGTAGAAAAGATGAAGGGGATAAATAAAAATAAAATATTTTCATGGCACCTGTTTGCTTTAAGACACCTTTATTCTTAAGCTCTAAGAAATAGAAAAGAATAGATAACAAATAAATAAAAAGTACAAAAGGTTAATGGTGTAAATAGAAATAAAGGGTAACCGCTTTTTGTTAAGCTCGAAATAGGAGAAAATAGTAGGTAACAAGTAAGTGAAAAATAAAAAAAGTTAAGGGCAAAAATGGAAAGAAAATATTCAATGACAACTGACTGCTTTAAGACGCTTAATTTCAGCTACCACTCTATAAATACAGACATCAACTGATTTTTTAACCAATAATTGTTAATTATCAGTATTCTAAATCATTTTTAAGAAATCATCGTATCGTATTTCTTTTTTTTTCCCCTTAATTAGTAAGAAAAGAGGGCAAGTAGACAAATTCAATAATAAAGACAAGTGGACAAAATACAATAAAAGTCAAACAGATAAAAAAGTAAAAACAAAAAAATAGAAGAAATATAATGGACAACGAAAACTAAAAACACCTACTTGTTTAGTTGCTTTAACACGTTTTTATTATATAATAAAAACATAAATATGTTTTACGTGTCCAACTGGGAACACATGTGAAAAGGAACTAAAATCAACAATAGCACAGAGAAAAAAGAAAATAAAAATTCCCGTCCGTTAAAAAATTAAGGATTAATTTCAAAAATTCCCTTCAAATTATGATCATTTTAACATTTTACCCCTCAAATTTTAAAAAGTGGCATCCGTTTCTTCCGAACTTTATTCCTTTAACAAATTTTATCATTCTGTTACAATAAATGACGAAAATCACCGCGTGTCACTTATTTAGTGAGAATTGAAAGTTTAAGTAATTTTCTAATTGAACCTCTTAGTTGATTATCCTTCTGTTACAACAAGTAATTTTTTGATTGATAGCCATAATATAAACATTATTTAATTTGACTACTTTTTATTATACCCTAAATAAGAAAAAACATATAACAAGTAAGTAAAAACTATAAAATAGAAATAAAAATTAAACTACTTTTAAGAGGAAATAATGGATAACAACTAAAGAGTATAAGTAGATACAAAAATTAAATCACTTTTTTCTTAAGTTCCAAGTAAGAGAAAAAACGTAGATAACATGTAAAAAGTGTAAAAGGTGAAGGGTATAAATAAAAATAAAAATTAAACCACTTTTTTAAAAAAAAAAAATTATAAGTTAGAAGAAAGAGTAGATAAAACGTAAGTAAAATTACAAAAGATAATAGACATAAATGTACAAAATAAGAAGAGTACAAATGAAAACACAAATTAGACTATTTTTCTTTAAAGTCTAAGTGAGAGAAAAGAGTAGACAACAAATAAGTAAAAAGTATAAAAGGTGAAATGCATAAATATAAATAAAAATTAACCGTTTTTTCTTAAGCTCGAAGCAAGAAAAAAAGAGTAGATAATAAGCAAATGAAAAGTAGAAAAGATGAAGGGTGTAAATGAAAAAAAAAATATTTTCGTGGCACCTATTTGCTTTAAGACACCATTTTTCTTAAGCTCTAAGAAAGAAAAAAGAATAGATAACAAATAAATAAAAAGTACAAAAAGAGAGTGGTATAAATGGAAATAAAGGTTAACCTCTTTTTGTTAAGCTCGAAATAAGAGAAAATAATAGGCAACAAGTAAGTAAAAAGTAGAAAAAGTGAATGACAAAAATAGATAGAAAATATTCAATGACAACTGCCTGCTTTAAGATGCTTAATTTCAACTACCGCTCTACGAACACAATCATCAACTGATTTTTAACCAATAATTGCTAATTATCAATCCTCTAAATCATTTTTAAGAAATTATCGTATCGTATTTTTTTTCCTTAATTACTAAGGAAAGATGGCAAGTAGACAAATTCAATAATAAAGACAAGTGGACAAAATATAACAAAAGTTAATAAAAAAAAGTAAAAACAAAAAAATAGAAGAAGCATAATGGACAACGAAAACTAAAAACACCTACTTATTTAGTTGCTTTAACACGTTTTTATTATATAATAGAAGCATAAATATGTTTTACGTGTCCAACTGAAAACACGTGTGAAAAAAACTAAAATCAACAGTAATACAGAGAAAAAAGAAAATATAAATTCTCGTCCGTTAAAAAATTAAGGATTAATTTCAAAAATTTCTCACGAACTATGACCATTTTAACATTTTGCCCCCTGAATTTTAAAAAGTAACATCCGTTCTCCCGAATTTTATTCCGTTAACAAGTTTTATCATTTTATTACAATAAGTGACGAAAATCGCTATGTGTCACTTATTTAGTGAGAATTAAAAGATTAAGTAATTTTCTGATTGAACTTCTTAGTTTTCCCAGCACAGGCGATTTTCTCCTTATGATCCCTCCCCAAAAACAATTGAAGATGTGAGTATTCAAGCATTGGTTTACGAGTTGAATTTGAGAAGCAAACATTATATCCTCTATATGCTGCTCGAGATCCTCTGCTCCTCAAATTGGGTTGTCAGAGTCTTCCACACAAAGGAAAAGAAACTCCAATCCAATTCTCTAAAAACAACATAAAACCAAGCAATCCTATTTGTCTTTGTTTTTAGCAATCCTATGAAGGGCAGTGGCAATGTTCAAGGGAGTGAGCGGTGAGGGGCTCAAGCCTTTCCCTACGACCATAATGGTGTGGGAAACGAGCTCCAATACTTGTTCAGGAGTTTATGCTTCTATGATTGCTTTGTTGAGGTTGATCTCTTCTCTACGATTTGTCGGCTCCGCGGCACCGGAGAGTTGGAATTGCGAAATCTTGTGAACCAGCTCCTCCATGGTCTTCTCTTTCTTTTGTTCAAACATTTTGGAGAGCATTTTTTTTTAGAGCAAATGTACGGATGAGGTGAGAGAGTGAGAATAAGAAGAAAAAGAGAGAAAACGTTAAATAAGTGACACGCGGTGATGATTTTTGTCAATTCATTATAACAAGAGAATAAAATTTATTAAGAGAATAAAATTCAGGTGGAACAATGTTATTTTTTAAAATTTAAGAAAAAAAGTATTAAAATAGTCAGAAGAAATTTTAAAATTAATTCAAAAATCAATTGAGAGAACCTTCGCTGAATAATCTCACCCGCAAATAATAATAAATAAATAAGATAATAACCAAATAAAAGCACCGACTCCCTTTAAAAAAAATAAAAATAAAAAAAAGCATCGACACTATTTTATTCGCGCAAATCAGACCGTAGATTATTAGGCCCTTAACTCTAGCCGTTGGATTACATCCAATGCAGTATATAAGCATATCCCTTCCTCAAAACCCTAGTTTTCTCGTTGTCCCCGCCTTTCCTCTAGCAATTGGGTTTCTTTTTCCACGTTGTTTCTCTGAAATCTTCATCAGATGTAGGAAGTTTCTGTTAGATTGGATCCGTTGTATTGAAGATCGATCGTCGTTCTTCGCAGCGCTGCGTATCCGAGATGTTTTTCTTGGCGTATGGATCAAGGTATCGTTATATCAATCCCTTTTCTGGATCGCTGAGAGTTTCTGCAGGATCCAGTATTTCTCGATTATTGTTTTTTAATTTTCTGTGGGATCTGACCTTTCTTTCGCATCCTTTCAAATTATGTATTCCAGATCGACCGTTTCGTCGTAGATCTGCGTATCGATACAGTGATTGATGATCCGGATCCAGAATCCGCAGATCTATGGAGGTCTTCCATCGGTTTTCTATTCTTGCATGTTTTATGGAGTTTGATTGACAAAGATACTGTTAATCGTAGGAAAGGCGAGAGATCGTCGTTAAGATGCTCAAGATTCATAGAATTACGAGTACCTCGTAAGGTATTGAAGCAATCTCTTTAGGAGTTCGATCATCTCCTTTATTATTCTCCAATTGTTTTTTTTTCCTAATTTTTGTTTCTTATCTTTTGCGGTTCAGATTCTCAGACCATAGATTTAGTGGAGAAAGAGCAGAATCCATTGATCTATGTGCTGATGTGCTTCCTCTGCTTGTTGCGTATCTGGCGAAGGTAGTTTTTGGAAGCAAAGGTGGTATATCGGACATGTGATTTTAGGCCAAAAGGCCTAAAGGTTTTGGTACATTACTCGATGGTTTTGTGTATTGTTCTGCTTTATTTCTGTATCATAATTTGTTAGATTGATTAGGATGGAGGAAAGCGAAATCTGCGGAGGTATATATTCCCATTATATACTGCTGTTTATAATAGACCTTTGCCATGACGGGCGCGCTTGCATGGCAGGTCAAAAATGCTAATAAAATTTATATTTTTTTGGGTTGTTTGGGGGGGGAGATGGCACGGGGTTTATTTTTATTTTTTTCTTTTGCCCGGCTCTCCCCCCAACGTGTGTGTGCGTGCTCTCTCTCTCTCTCTCTCTCTCTCTCTCCGTTTCAATCTTTTTTTCGTATTTTCTCTTCGTGGTGATGAATTTCCCAACGAACAATCAATACGAGCACGTAAAGACGTAAGTGTTCTTCAGCTTTTGAGTCAAATTGGTTATTCAGCGAGCATCAGTTTCTGATACAAATTTATTTATCAGCGACATCAGCGGGAAAATGAAGAGGTACAATTTCTAATGCCTTTAGTTTGTGCACTATTTCAATTCTTTGTGCACTAAATTTCCTACCCGGCAAAATACATCATAAATATTTTCGTCACCGTTTACGTTTAAGAATATTTTACTTTATGATTAAAAGCTATTTGCCCTATATAATTTCGTCTCGGTTAGACGTCACACTTTCCTGTTTATACAAGCGTCTATATTTGTAGCTAAGAAATAAAAAACCGTCAAACCGCCCAGTTCAATTTGCCCATATAATATGACAGTCACATGCGTAAGATTTATTTGATTTATGCACTTTTACTACAGTTCACAATGAGTTGAAGTCAATGAAACACGAAATCCGCGTTTGAATTGGCACGAGTACTGTGTTGTACTGCTGTGTTACCTTGAATCTCCAAAGTTAATCACTGTTATGTTTCCTATAAATAACCATCAAATAGAATCATGAGCGTCGGACACTCTCCAATATGCTTGTGCTTTATTTGCTCGACAGAATTTTTGGAAATTTTATATTGAATGGGTTTCGGATGTTGTTTTCTTGATGTTAGATGTACATTTTCTCGTTCGAAAATGTCACTGTATGGTATTGTTGGATTCCGTATTTTGTGGCTACGGAAGCATTTGTTGCACGACCACTTGGTTATGGACTAATATATGAAGGACTTTGTATTTTCCTGAAGTGTAATTCTTCTCTGTTACCAATATGGCCCTGTTACTTAGGAGATTTTATTTCAAAGAGACTATATACGAGGCAAGGGATGGGTATCAATATGTAATGTAATGACTACTGTGGGAGTTGCTGTCGAAAGTCTTAAAACTTGCTCTCCGAGGACATCTTTGTAAGTTATTTTCTTAGTTGGATTTTTGTTTCACCTCCGTTGCAGATCATGTGTTCTATTTGCAAGCTTAGCTATTATGTAATTATACCGTTCATGGCTGTTTCTTTTTTTTTTTTTTTTTTTAGTTGAGCATGAGTTGTAAAATGTTTATTTTTGCATCTGTCGTACATTGTTTAAATTTTTTATCTTGTTTTTACAGAGTAACAAATCATATATAATTAGAAACGAGTGTTTTGCGAGCCCTGTATAATATCGTCACGAGGAAAGACAACAAGTTTATATGTTATAACTTATGTATGTTTAACAATAGCCAACTCCATTATGCTAGAAGTAATCACAATGAAACACTTGGGAAGTAAATAGGACGTCCTCACTTAACTTCACGGTGCTCGGGACTGTGCTTTTGCACTTGTGTAGGCTGATTTATATCACCTGGTTTACGCACTTCAGTAATAGGTAGTGTTTAGACATCTGTTTTCGCATTAGCACAGTGCCATCAATTCATACATTTGCACGTTGCTCAAAAGTGCTTTTTTCCATGTATGCGGTTGATTTGTAGCGCCATTGATGTCAGTAATTAGGATATTGCTTGGAGAACTTCTATCCCCAACACTCAGATTCAACTCTGGAATGCAAAGGGACCCATCTTCCCCAGTGTTTCCTTGCATTGTTCGGGTGATTGTTTTTTTAAGCACGGTAATGTATGGGCATTCTTCTATAGTATAAGAATGTGATGCGATGTTCAAATTTATTACAAATAAAAGCCTTGATTAACATCAATATGAAATTTTATATCATTGTTGTTTTTAAATGGGAACCTAATTAAAAATTAATTACATCTGAAGTGGTAGTAAAGGATGCTGAAGCCACGGCGATGCGTGGTCCGCTGTAAGTTGCAGAGTTAAAAGAGAACAACTTTTTTTCCCCCTTAAAAAATGCTTAATTCGCAACTCTTCTTATTTGGGTTTTTTGGAGAATATTGTATAGAGCTCTCCCATTCATTCGGTAAGAACCCCGTTACTCACAAACCCACTACTTTGTAAGTGATGAGGTTTTATTCTGGGATAAATACCATTTCTGTATTTTATATGGCTTTTTGTTTTTTATAATTGCCGTTGTTTTCATTGTTCAACACGCGTGCGTTTAACATAATTAAAGTGGAATTTGTGCGGTTAATTTCATTTGTCTTTGTTATTTCAACATGCTCTTGAATTTTGAAATGGGGTTGCTTAATCCCTTGAATTTTAAAATGGATTCATTTTACCCTTTGGAGTGTGTACCTTAATTTAAAATGCTCTTTGTATTTATAAAATTATCAAATTGATGATGTCTTTTATTATTATTATTATATAAGTGCTCCAGACTATTGATTTTAAGTTGACTTGTTTCTTAAATTAGTATTATTGTGTTAATTTACTCAAACTTCTTAGATTTAAGAGATCAAGGGGCAAGACGATAGTTAAGGGGCATATACGTAAAACAACTGTTAGGCTGTATTGGGTTCTCAAGGGGTGCAATGAATTCTTTTTAAAGTTTAATAGCACCTATAAATAAGGTATAAGGTTATGGGGTATTTATGGAATTAATTCAATTTGCGATTTAGCGTGACGGGTCTAACCCAAAATAAAAGTAGCGTCGCACAATGTGTCATTTGTTTTTATAAACGTATTTTAATTTTTCCTTGTAAGCGGTTTTTATTTTTTACGTCTTGCTTTCGACATGGTTGTGATTTTTTTACGTATTTTAATTCGACACTTTCTAATTTTGTATGCGGAATTATCTAGTCGTTCTTTTGTGTTTTGATGACAACCTGTGACATTGCTTTCGACCGTCTTACGAATCACAGTTGATTGCAAACAAATCCTTTGTCTACGATTATGGTAATAAACTACCAAGACAAGAATAATGTGTATGGATCCATCAGCTCTAATTAGGAAGGAGCGCCCAAACCATCATGTTTGGGAGGTTGGTGGTTCGAATCCACCTGGGTCCCTGCTAATTGCTATAAGATTCTTGGGCTTCGACAGGACAAGAAGAGCCCACGAGACCCTGTAGTTGCCTTTTGTGTTTTATTTTTTATTTTCCCCTGTTTTGCCTTTTTTCAATTTTTAACACCATGTCTTACAAGATTTGCTTGCTTAGGATTTGCGCCGGATTGCTTGCGTGTTGATTCCAATTCGCGAGTCGCTCATAAACTATTTTCCAATTTAAGTATAGGTGGGCCCCTCTTTCCCGCCACCATTTTCCATTGCTGGATACGTCTAACACAACATTTCAAGTTTTGTCGTTTTCTTTTTGTTGGGAATTTCCTCGTTTACTTTTTTCCTTGTTCTTTCGTCGAACAGGTGGACAATTCACGGGGTTCGGTGGATTGAGAACTTCATTCATTGTTTGCTTTCCCTTGGATCTACTTTGAGTCTTTGACGTAGCCGACCGCATCAGCCTGATGTAAGGTCAGAGCATTTTCAACTTGATCTACGTTCATTAAGAACTGAACTACGACTACATATCGTAGCCGTGGACCAAGAAAAGCAAGCATTTCCACGAACACCCACTGCGTATAGAAGAATAATCATCCTTGACTTTATGCATTGAGAAAGTTTATATTTTGTTTGGAACGGTGTTGATATATATTCTACCATTACACATGTTACAAGAAATTTGGGTGTGTACTTTTTATGGATTTATAAATTTGTTTGTTTGAAGAGTTGGAAAGAATAGTTTTGTCTAACTAATCTTTTAGATTGCAAAACGAAAAATAAGTAAATGTATACAATTTACTACAAAACTACAAAAGATGGTATGTCCAGGTTTTTAACTATTGCTTCTTGTTGGCGTGTGGAAGGCTGGAAGCTATTCCTTAACGTGTTGTCTCATTTTCATTTGTCACGCCCAGATTCTATTTAAAGCCACTGTTACAGAGTCAGAGACAGATCTACATGCATGAATTTACGTCGAAAAGAAAAAAGATGTACATGCACTTATTATTTTATTAATCACATCGTACAATAGATTAAACCATAAAAATCCATTTGGGACGAAAAAAGTTACTGTGTTTATGATACCACTTATGAATGTTAGAAAAACGACAAAGGGGTTGTTCAGCAGCCATTTTTTTGAGTTAAAAACTCAAAAAAAGTAACTCGAGTTATAATTTTATTTAAGTTTATGTTCTTTTAAGTTTAAACTCGAGTTTGAACTCAAGTTTAAACTTGAGTTTGTGACTAAAACTCGAGTTCAAGTTTCTCCTTCAATTCGAGTTTAAATTAATGAACAGTATTTTTTTTATTCTTAAAAGTGGTATAATTTTTTCGTTTTAATTCTGATTGAGATGATTTTTTTTCTATGCGTTGACAACGAAAAGACAAATAAAATTTCACTTATATACCCTATTAAAATTTTCCATCAGCATTGAGTGTTTATTAAAATACTATCTAAATACAAATTTAAGTTTTGACTCACTCAAACACAAAGTCAAAAACATTCTTATCTCAAACCATAACTCAAATATACACAACCAAACACAAACTCAAGTTATAACTTCAACTCAAATTATAACTTAAACTCAACTCAAAATCTACACTCAAATCACCTAACTCAAAAACGGTAAAAGAATAGCCCCAAAAATTTTTGTGTTCATGTTTTTATTAGTTATTACAATCACAACGTGGGAGAGAGGTCGACAAGCTCACTTGCACTTAGTTTGGTATTGCTTTTCTCTCATAAAATCAGTTTCTGTTTGTAACAGAAGTTGATTTTAGTATTTAGTAAATCTCTTTAAAAACATTTTTAAAGAATTTTTTAAGAATCTACAGTCAAAATCAGAAGCAGCTTAAATATAATTTTAGCTTTTAGATTGTGTGAGAATCAACATAATATAATTAATGAAACTTTCATAATGAAATTTTAAATTTACAATCTTCTCGATCTAAAATTCAAACTCGTAATATAATATAATATAATAGTAATATTGTAACCAATAATAATATCATAATTATATTAATAACTCTAATATTATTATTTTATCATATAATCTGATATTATTATAATTATTTTAATAATATGATATTATAATTATAATATGATATTGTAATTATTATTTTATAATATATTATATATTATATTGTATTGATATAATTGTATTTATTATATTAATAATATTAC